AGCATTTGTTGCCCTTAACGCAGAGAAACTAAAGCAGATACCTTAAAAGCAACTGAGGCCAACAGGAGAAGGGGACCAGGAACTAGAGAAAAGGTTAGAACCAAAAGAATTAACCTAGAAGGTAACACACACCACGCACAGGAAATCAATGTGAGTCAACTCCCTGTATAGCTATCCTTATCTCAACCAGCAAAAACCCTTGCTCCTTCCTATTATGGCTTATACTCTCTACGACAAAATTAGAAATAAGGGCAAAATAGTTTCTGCTGGGTATTGAGGGGGTAGGGGGGAGAAGGAGGGGGCGGAGTGGGTGGTAAGGGAGGGGTTGGGGGCAGGGGGGAGAAATGACCCAAGCCTTGTATGCACATATGAATAATAAAATAAAATCAATGCTGTCTGTGTTCTCTAAAAAGGAGCTCATCTAGAGAGGTAGGCAGAGATGCTCAAATACCCAGAAAAGTAGAGGAAACATCTGAAAGAGAACAAGGAGTGTACCACAATTTCAGGTATAGCTGAGAGACTGCAAGACTCTCATAGAAGCCTTAATTGCAGCACAGACGTTGTGGTGGTTTTAAAATATGCCCACAAATACATTGACACTCCTCCCTTCAAACACTGAAGCCAACTTTCCCTACCCTTGGATTAAGTGACTTACTTCTAATAAATAGACTGTGGTAAAAGTAACTGTATGCCAATAAGCAGGAGCTGCTATTTATATAAATAATCAATCTGCACAAATTCTTTTTCTCGGTATATATAATTAAGAAATAATACATGCGTTTTGATTTACCAAAAAAAAAAAAGTGACTGTATGCAACTTCTAAGACTAGATCAGTCATTAAAGGCACTGAGGTTTCCTCCTTATTCTCTTTGTCTTGAGTCACTCACTCCAGGAGTCAACTGCTAGGTGATAAGGATACTGAAGCAACCCTTTGCAGAGGTTCACATGACAAAAAAAAAGAACTGGCAAGAAACAAGGCCTCCTGCCAAAAGCATGTGAATGAGTCTTCTTGAATTCTCTGCTCCAGTTAAGTTACAGATGATTACAGCCCTGGTTGATATTTTGACCACAACCTCTTGAGAAACCCTGAGCCATAACTACCTACCTAAGGGTTCCAGGTTCCTAGCACACAGAATGTTATTGTTGTTTCAAACCAACATGTTTGAGGATAATTCGTTAACAGCAGCATGTAACTAACTAAATACTAGACTGCAGCGTATTGCCTGCCAAAAGTGATTATGGGAGATAACCAAGAGATGAGCCTGAGGGGAGACTCATCAAGGTTCACAAATTCTCTACTGATGGCCAGAAGGTGATGCAAGTGTTTCTTCATCCCTCATGGAACACTCTCAAACACTGACATCAAGGCAAGAGGCCAAAACACTATACCCAAAGACCTGGCTCAACCACCTGTGCCTTAGTTGCTCTCATCAGGAAACATCCAAAGGCCAAATCAAATGAGATCCTTCTGAGCAGACATTGATTACTAGATGACAGTATCTGACCAAAGGACCTGCCACACCCAGGTATCCAGGCATGAGCAGGAAATAAAAGGGAAAAGACACTCTGAGAGATTAAGAATTTACCCAGAAGAAAAAGAGACATTTAAATTAGAAATGCTACTTTTGCTGGGTGAGTATAACTTTGTTCCACTACAAAGGAGAAATTTCGTGATTAACTAAACTTGTGTTTAATTATAGAAAATAAAGTTATATTTCTGTACATCTGAAATGTGTCTAAAATTTTAAATCAATTAGTTTTATTAAGAAAAATACAAAGAAAAATAAAATGAATAGCCATGTACCCACCACCTGACCTAAGAAATAAGTTCAAGTCCTCTGGATACTTGATCATACTCCCACACTACCTCCACAGGTAATGAGTACTGGGTTTTCCCATTATCATTCCCTTGCATTTATTTTTATTTTGACTACAAATCTATTTATCTCCACAATAAAATTAACTATTATTTTTCCTTGTTTTTAATCTTTAAATAAATAGCATCATATTTTAAGTACTTTTGTGCAACTTCCTTTTTGCTTAATATTATAGTTGTAAGGAAATAAAAGGGGGATTCTGGCTAAACCAATCCAACAGGATTCTTGCTGAAGAAGCAATTCCCAGGTATCATCTGGGGGATGGCAGAGGATGAGGGGCCTAATCAGATATTGCATATAACCAGATATAGAGGAAAGAGGAAGAGGTGGTTCTCACTAAATTGACTTAGCAAGGCTATTTGCTAAAACTGGATTTTACACGGAAATACTCAGATGAACCTAAAAAAAAATATTCAAAAGCCTGACTAAAGTTTGGCCAAGCAAAGAATCATTGTTATAGCCTCAGTCCCAAGGCATACTGTTTTGTGGTCTCTAGACATTTCCTTTATTTTTCTAGATAACAGCAATGCATTTAAATACAGGCATGTTAAGTTTTATCCAGCGTATCTAGGAATTTTGTACTTGTCAGTTTTTAGGACATAGTAACTAGAGTATTCCTTCCACATGTTATTCAAAGACCACTAAGCTTGCAATGTGTGGAACAGTTTGGAGAAATGTGTAAAGCAAGGAGACCTATTCGGAGATTATTACAGAAATTTAAACAAGAAGGAATAACTGGAATGCAGGGTGTAGTGGCAGAGACAAAGAGAAATAGATCCGGGAGATACATAAAATCAACAAAGGTTGGGTATGTAGCTCAGTGGTAGAGCACTTGCCTCGCACAGGAGAGGCAGTGGTTTCAATCCCCAACACTGGTGAGAAAAAAAAAAAAATCAACAGGGTTTCAGGCAACCAGGAACAGGTGTCCAGAAGTCAAGAGGTTTTTTTTAATAGGAGTCCAAGAGAAATCTGAATTGTACAGGAGTTCTGGGGAGTCTACTGTGCAAAACCTGGTAACTGAATTCACAATGTAGGTGCTTGGTGGAGATTGCAGAGTGGAAAGAGAAGAAAATCCGAGGACCCTGAGGAATACCAACACTTTAAGAGTTTAAAGGAGACTGAGCAAGCAAGAGACTGAAAAGAGTAAGGAGAATGTCCCAGAGACGGTGTGGTTTTTCACTGAGGCCAAGAATCGAGTACTGCCAAAGATCGAAAGGCGGTGGCACGCAACAGGTGATTCTGAGCGTTCAAACAAAGTGAACTACAACGCGCATTAGATTTGGGGACACATGGGAAATCTGTGCTCTTGGAGAGAGGGGGAATGGCAGAAACCAGATGGAGTGAACTGGGAAGTAGAAAATGTAAACAGTTTTGAGACGTCTGCTTATGAACACAAAGAACATCACAGGAGGAAAAAGAGGGAGCAGTGGGAGCTGGAGAAGGGTTAAGGATGAGAGAAACTTTAGAAGGTGTGAATGCTGACAGGATGAGAACAGTGCGAAAAGAGTACGAGGAGTACAAAAGTATGAAGAGAAACAAATCCACCTTGCGTCTAGTTTCGTTCGTTCCTTTCCTTCGAGAGAACGCTGCTTCTGCACCTCGCCGCTCCGCCTCCACGCCTCCACGCCTCCACGCCTCCACGCCTCACCCCTCACCCCTCACCCCCGTGAAATTTACTCAGTTGTTATAAGTTCTTCCGGGTTGCGGTGACGTTGCTGGACACGCCCAGCTGGGATTCTCTCCCCCCTCAATTGGGGCTGGTTCCCAGACCACGCATGCGCCCAGGGTCGTAGTTGCGTCTGTTGGGGGAGGGGAGGTTAAGTGTTGCGCAGGCGCGGTAGATCCTGGTCGCTATGCGAGTGCTCGTGGGTGAGGGAGTGCAGAATGGGCGAGTCGGGGGCGGGCCTAGCTAGAGGTTGAGAGCTGGAGGTCTTCACCAAGAAGACATTGGCTCCTATACTGGCACCTTGGCTTCCTAGCCCTGGAAGCGGCGTCTCCCTAGTCCCTGCAGCGCGGGAAGGGGTATTGGAGGGGAGCAGTCAGATGGAAGTGCACTAGAGGAGGGCGCCACAGGCGGGGACGCCAAGCGCCTGTCTCCACCCCCGAGTTTAAACGGTTTGTGTTCTCCGATCAGGTGGCGGGACGGGCTTCGTTGGGACAGCCCTAACTCAGCTGCTCAAAGCCAGGGGCCACGAAGTGACGTTGGTCTCCCGACAGCCTGGCCCCGGTCGGATTACGTGGGTACGTCCAGCCGCGGGAAGCTGGGTGGGGAGGCCAATGGCCCGGGACGGAGCAGCGGGCACTGTGCGCCTTCTCTTGACAGGATGAGCTCACTAGATCCGGGCTGCCCAGCTGCGATGCCGTCGTCAACCTGGCTGGACAGAACATCCTCAACCCTCTCCGAAGGTCAGCCGGACCCTAAGCCGATATCCTCCAGAGCCGGGTTTTACTGGAAATTGGTATAAAACAGGCCCCAGAAATACAGAGAGATATACACATATATTTATTGACTATTTCCTCTGTTGTTCCTGCAGGTGGAATGAAACCTTCCAAAAAGAGGTTCTCAGCAGCCGACTGGAGACCACCGAAATGCTGGCTAAAGCCATCGCCAAAGCCCCACAACCTCCCCAGGCCTGGATCTTAGTCACAGGTGTAGGTATGCCCCCAAATCACCAACCTCTTACATTAGCTGGGGAAGGAGGGAGCAGAGTAGCTTGTAGCTATACACACCCCAGAACACTGGTCTTTTCCAGACACAATTTCTAGGCCTTCTCCTGACCTCTGTGTATTTCCACTGAGAAATGGAGACCCTCAGAGAAAGAGGGGGAAGTGGTGTCATTCCTGCTGCCAGGGGAAAGCCCACTTACTCCCAAGTGCCTTGCTTACTTTTTGCACCACAATTCTTGAAGAACAAAATTCCTGATTGTTGTGTCACCTTTAAGAACAAATAGTTGCAAACAATTATAATGTACACTACTCTTAAGTGTCTTATACATATTACATCATTTAGTCATCACAACCCAATGAGGTAGGTACTATAATTCCCATTTTAAAGGCTAAGTAACTTGCCAAAAGTCAGAGTTAAAAAATGGCAGAGCTGAGATTACAATTCAGGCAACCTAGCACTCAAATTTCTGCTTCTGTTCACTACACTCTAGCAGCCTCTGCGTATAGCCCTGAAGCCAAAGGTAAGACTTCTTCCAGGCAGGTACAGGTCAGGTCATGGAGAAGCTCCAGAGGAAAATATCCATGGCTTTGTTCCCCAGGGGAGATGTCAAGGGCCAAAGAGGGTGAGGCCAAGTGGAGCCTTAACTGCAAAGGGACAGGCAGTACAGGACACTCAGAGCAAACCAGTGCTGTTCTTCTGGCAGCTTACTACCAGCCCAGCCTGACTGCAGAGTATGACGAGGACAGCCCAGGAGGGGATTTTGACTTTTTCTCCAACCTGGTAACCAAATGGGAAGCTGCAGCCAGGCTTCCTGGAGATTCTACACGCCAGGTGGTGGTACGCTCTGGTGAGAGCCCAAGGACTTGGAAACTAGGCAGAGCAGAATGACCTCTGGTGTGGGGTGGCAAGGGGGGATGGGAAGGCCAGGGGACCCAGGAGGTGAAGGTACAGTGAGAGGATGTCATTACTCTTGACCATCCTGCAGAGGGGAGGATGGGAAGTCCCAGGGCCATAGCCCTCAACTCCTAGAGATAAGTCCATATGGGGAGAGACTGAGGAATAGAAGTGATCAAGCTGTTTCAATGCTGAGAGGCCTCCTACACCATCCCTCTTGCCTGCTTTAGGAGTTGTGCTGGGCCGTGGGGGTGGTGCCATCGGCCACATGCTGCTGCCCTTCCGCCTGGGACTGGGAGGCCCCATCGGCTCAGGCCACCAGTTCTTCCCCTGGATTCACATTGGAGACCTGGCAGGAATCCTGACCCATGCCCTCGAAGCAGGCCATGTGCATGGGGTCCTGAATGGAGTGGCTCCAGCCTCCACCACTACCAATGCTGAGTTTGCGCAGGCCTTGGGTGCAGCCCTAGGTCGCCCAGCCTTCATTCCTGTCCCCAGCACTGTGGTGCAAGCTGTCTTTGGGCGAGAGCGTGCCATCATGCTGCTAGAGGGCCAGAAGGTGGTCCCACGGCGGACACTTGCCACTGGCTACCAGTATTCCTTCCCAGAGCTAGGGACTGCCTTAAAGGAAGTCGTAGCCTAAGAGGGAGGCTCACGGGCAAGGCTTGTCCCTCATCAGGCTTCCTGGTTAGATACTGTGAAATAGCCTCAGGTGGTCCTCTGCTTGAGATCAGAAACCATCTGGTTCTTAGGGATTCCTCTCCCATTCCTCTTCCTCCAAATTCCACCTTATTTAACTGAGAAACTCCAATTGTAATGTCATCAAGTTGGGACTTTAACCTCTTCAGCTCCTCATAAAAGATTTTCCAAGTTTGGTTTCTCTACATATCACGTTATTGCCCCAGTTCTTTATGCTTTGTAGAGAATGCTCGGCAGTTTTGGCAATAAACATAAATTATCTCACTAGCTTCAGCTCATCTCTTTGGCCTAGATTCTCCTGGAATTTATTTCGAGGCTGTCACCCTACATGACTGTTTGGTACCTGGGTTCTTTAAAAAGTTCTAATAGGCAACATTCTTCTTTTGGTCCCTATACCAAAAGAGCTGGTCACAAATACGAAGTATAAGGTTATGATAAGGTAGAGATGAGAAGACAGAAATAAGAATCCATTTCCAGTAAGTTCTGCTTATCTCCCTGCATGCCTGTTCATAGAGTGCCATTAGGATGCCTGCAGAAAAAGGGGCAAGACCCCAGTGTAGCTCAGCCTTCAGTCTATGTCATCAAAGGCAATACATTAATAAAGCAATCACATGTTCCCAGTTTATCAATCTGAGGCAGGCAAAGCCAGCATCCCTAAAAGGCTAGGCTTTGCTTCTTGTCTGATTGGGGCCTTTAGTCTACCAGGACCCATAAGAGCAGAATATACCTCTGGCCTACTTGTATACCCACCATCATGGAAAGGGCAGAGAACCAATCATGAACCAAATTCAACTCTTATCAGGAAAAAAATAAGCTCCAAGTGTTCATCTAGAACCCTTTTTATCTATCTAAAGTTAATATGTCTGCCACAATTTAACCAGAAACTCTTCCCCCAGGCCCCAGTTCGGGCATATTAACCAATCTTCTTCTCAGATCACTGTGTCACTTCCAAACCTCTCTCTAATACACCTGTCCCTAGCCTAGGTCAGTATGGTCTAATGATATAAATCACCAAAGGGGCAGGAGCAAAAACAATTGGGACCTAGGGACCCTCTCCCTCATCATTAAGTTCCTGTAGAAGTCAGAGCCTGAAAAGGATCTTACGCAGGGCCCAAAGAGAATGACCTGGGGGCTCCTGTCTTGCCTCTCTTGGACTCTCAGAAGCTGACTGGCTCTGTACTGTTCCTGGGGAATGACTGGCCTCAAAGGTAGAAACATAACAGAAAAGTGTATTTTAGGCTACACTAAAGGAAGGACTACTGATTAATACTGTCTAAAGAATGTGCTATATTGCAGGTAGTGAATTCCCAGGCATGGGAGGAATTTAAGCAGGTACAAGGCAATGGCCTGTTGGGATCTGGATGGAGAGAGCATATCATGATATGACAGAGTTGGTCTGGTGGCCGATCAGGAACCTTCCACCTCTGATTCTTCAATTTTCATTATACAGATAATTGGTTCATCTAGATAAACTATCTCCATACACAGACAGTAGAAGTGGGGCTCACCTGATGCAACCTGTATCTTCCACAAAGAAAATGTTAGGATCAGGTCACATTAGCATTGTCATTGCAGAGCATGGCTTCATCAGTTTGGTGAAAACACTACAGCAAGAGGATTTAACCAGGGACTTTCTGACATGTTTGTTAATCTGTGAGCAAACACTAAAATACAACAGGACAGCTGCCATTTATAGGAACCCTGAGAGTTTTTGGTAATGCAAACACTATTATAAATGCAGATTTTAAAGTTGCCCAAAAGGGATGCAGCCATTATCGGTCATGTTATACTGAGGACTCAGTGTTAAAATCAAGGGCATGGGACCTGGGCATGGGAGATCCACATCTCTCTAAAAGTGAGGCTTTACTTAGGAAGCCTGTGAAGTCACAGGCATAAACACCTGAGACATGATCCAAGGAACTTTCCTCTATGCTCACATCTCTCCTCCCAACAGGTATTATTACCTGATTTAAAGGCAGAAGGAAAGGCCAAGCAGTTCAATCAAAGTCACAAGACAGGCACAGCAGAGACTGGAAGCCTGGTCTCCCTCTGCTCCCTGCTACCCCACTGCAACCCAGCCCACCTAAAACTATAGCCCCTCCATGGCCTAGCATGCCCCAACATACTCCCAGGAGACAGTTCAGCCTGAGAAGTACCCTGTCCTCTAGATATCAAGAGCAGCAGCCAGGGGGAAGAAAGGCTCAGCTTGAAAGCCACCTCTGGTCCACCCTGGCCTCCATCCCAACTCAGCTTGAAGGTGGAGCCAGCAGTCCCAATCTCCAGGAACAGCCCCTCTCCCTACAGAAACCCTGTGTTAAGACAAGGTTGAGAAGTTAAGGCTGAGCAGAATCTCTTCAGAGCGAGTTAAGGTCCTGACTCGAGATTGGGTCACTTTATGGACCTATAGCCAAAGTGCTCCAGGCAAAAGCATTCCCCACACTTGACTGCTCTTCCCTGACCCAAAGCACCAATTCAGAGTGAGTCCGTCAGAGTCTGAGCAGCAGAGGGACTGTTACATAAGGCGGTGAGCTGAGGGAAGCTGGAGCTATCAGGGTAGCAGCCACGCAGCCAAGTAAGGCTCAAAAGTTGAGACTCAGCAGGGCCTCAGACAGCTGGTTAATGTCCCGGCAGTATGGCTCCCGTTGCAGAATGAAGTCCACCTTGTGATCCTGACCCAAAAACACCTCCAGCAGCTGGCGCCTCAGCCGCTCTGTCTCCCGGGTCTTCCGAATGCCACCACTGCCTTTTTCCTCTTCCCTCCCCTGCTGCTGATTACCATGTTCTGCAAATCCCTTGGAAGGATGCTGAGCCTTAGAAGAGCCCTGTTTCCTGGAAAGAAGTAGAACAAGAAGAGCTACTGAGCATCCTGGAGGGAAATTAGCCCTGAGTTGGTCTCCCTCTTAATTGGCCTGCTTATTCTTGGATCTGGGGGAGTAAGCATGACATTCTCTAAGCTGACCACTGAGTGGCAGTATCAACCCACTTCTGAAGGAGAGGCATCTTGGGAACCAAGAATGTGAACCTTCACACTCTTAGGATATACTTCTAGTCCTAAATTAATCAATTAGTGGTCCAGAAGAGGGCATGCTGAGTACAACTGGCTGTCAGTAAAAGCAACCATCTTCAAAATAATTCCATCATACACTGATCAGAAGGAATATGAAACAGCAGTTTCTCTCTCAACCAGGAAGTTCTGTGTCAGGATATCATGGGAAGATTTTTTTATATATATAAATTTTTTATTAGAATATATTCATTATATGGGGGGATTCATAGTGACAATTCTGATTAGACTTATATTGTATATTATTTATATTGCCTCCATCTCTCTCCCCCTCAACCCTCTTACCACACCACTTAAAGCAACTGCAAGAAGTTTCTTAGTTCTATTTGATATAGGTATATGAAGTTCATCTACCTTAATCTCCTTCCTTTACCGTCCCCCTTCCCACTAGTACTCACACACACACACACACACACACACACACACACACACACACACTATACCTATTTTACAGTCCTGGTCTTCATTATTTAAGTATCATGGGAAGGTTTTAAGGGCCAGTCCAAGGCAGCTCAAACTACTGCAGAATTAAGGTGGCCCAAACTGAGAAATTCCCACCCAAGGCTCCAGGCCTGCAGAGAAAGAAACAGACCTAAAGGCTGTCTAAGGGAGTATAAGCATTACCTGGCTGGCTTTTTCAAGAACTCATCCAGGGTGGGGCCATTTCGCCCCAGCGGGTCATCAGGAACCATGAAGAGGTTTCCCACAAAAGTGAAGGGCAGCAGACTAGATGAGGAAAGAGGAAATTTAATTACAGAAGTGCCCTTGAATACTTCCCAGACAGCTGAGACTAATGCCACCAGAAGCCACTGGCTGTCATTCTTTGAGGCAGCTTCAAGCCCCTTTCAAGAGTTCTCACCCAGTGGCCACAGAAGAGCTGGTTTTAGAGAAAGGTCTGAGTCTGGGCCCTATTCTCATGGAAGAACTCCCTCACCGCTCTCTGATGATCTCCATCCACTTGTCAGACTCCTCTGCCAGGTCCCGGAACTGGTCATTAGACACAATGATCCCATCAGTCTCTTCAGCCAGCTTCACCATGAACCTGTCTCAAAAACCACAGCAACCATTTAGGGATTCTCCAAGGTCCCAACACCAAAGAGTGCTATCAACTCCTATTACCTACTTCTGGTAATAGGGATCTGGGCCTCCCCTCATCCAGCTATAGACGACTAGCTGGATGCAGGTATCATGAGTGAGAGAGGAAACAAAGGTGAAGCCAGCATAGTCTCCCAGTAGCATCCCTTCTACTCACCAGACCCAACACTTGTGCCTCACTAGTAAGAGACAGTAAGATCACTCTGTTTTCCATCTTACCTCACCAATCACTCACAAATCCACTATGCTCTTCCTCTGAAAAGCCTTCCTCTCTGCCTCTTCCTTTCCAGATCCACACAATTACCATTTAGTGATTCAGATATTACATCTGAGATACTGCAAAGCCTTCTAACAATTCACCTGTCTCAACTATTCACCACCCTTCAGTTTCACCTCCCTTCCCCCACAAGAAAGCTTGCTCTTCCCCTATACTGAGCTCTTCCACACTTGCCCTTTGGTTCCTGAGCAAAGCCCACATGCCCAGGCTTGGCAGCTAGAATCTTGCTCCTTGCCGCCCTTACAGCCTTATCTCTCCCATTATTCCCCAATGTACCTTCAACTCCAGCCAGAATCAATGATCAGATTACATCTTGCTCTCCAAACACGCTGTCTGACTTCCATGTTTCTGAAACTTCTCTCTATCTGAAAAGTGCTTCCCAAACCCGGCTGATCAACAGACACCAAAGGAACGCTTTAAAAATAGATGCCTGGGCTCCACTTAAGTAATCCTCATTCCACAGGGTAGGATTCATGAGGTAGTGAGTAGCGTCTTTTTAATGGGTTCAGAAATCAAGAGATCCAGCTTATCCCACATCCTTCTCAATGAAGAAAATCCACAAACCTCTCCCTCCTTCAAAAACTCAGTCAGAAGAAGGCTCCCTTCTCTGTGAGTTCCTGTAGTATTTGATTTATAGTTTGTTTTTGCTCTCTGACATCAAGAATCAGGTCTTGTTCCCAGCTTTCCTTCTGTAAGTCATGCACCTAGTATGCAGTAGCTGTCAGTTTTTGAAAGGCAGTGTGGTATAGAGATTAGCTGTGAGAGTTATCTGGCTCTGAGTTTCCTCTCTTGGAAATAAACTAAGAGGATATGTAAAGTATACACGTGGTATATAAAAAGTATTTTCTGGGGCTGGTGGAGTGGCTCAAGTGGCAGAGAGCCTGCCTGGCAAGTAGGAGATCCTAAGTTCAAACCCCAGTACTACAAAAAAAAATGGGTAAGCATATTTTACTATTGTTTTGTTACCATGTATGTTGTCCAGTATTCATTCAGTTGGCCCATGTGTCTACCACTGTACTTACTCACTGTTGCTAGGCAAAATTCCCAGTTCTTTTTATGTTATTTATTCACCAATTCCTACACAATTGTGCAAACACATGCCTTTAAAATTCATTAAACTGGCCAGGTATGGTGGCTTAGGCCTGTAATCCTAGCTATGAGGCAGAGATCAGGAGGATTGAAGTTTGAGGCCAGATCAGGCAAAAAAGCTCAAGAGACCCTATTTCAACCAATGGTCATGATGGTGCTCACCTGTCATCCCAGCTACCTGGGGAAGCACAGATAGGAAGATCAACGTTCACGTTGGTCCAGACATAAATCGAGACCCTATCTCAAAAATAACCAATGCAAAAAGGGCTAGCAGAAAGGCTCATGTAGTAGAGAGCGTACCTAGCAAGCTTGAGGTCCTGAGTTCAACCCCCAGTATAGTCAAAAAAAAATCATTAAAACTGACTCAATCTTCAGTTTCAATTCTGTTCACTACTGATATGGAAAGAAGGTTGCATATCTTTGACAGAATGAAATCTAGGCATAAAACACAATGCCATCAGGAGAAAATGAATTGCCTTTTTGTAAAATACCATTTACTTGGAAAGAGTAAAAAGAGCATTTTGAAAAGACAAATGGTTATGGTTTGGAATTTTTTTTTTTTTTTGTGCTGGAGATCAAATCCAGCTCTATCACTGAGCTATGCCCCAGCCCTGAAAACTCCTTTTTTTTTAACTGAATAATGTCCTAAGGAATAAAGAAGCTATGGTGGTAAAATTTTTAAATTAGCTAATGAGCTTTAAAATCTACCCATTTCCAAACGATGTATGTACAAGGAGTATGCCCTGTGTTTTCTGCCATCTAGCAACTTTAGGGTCTATTTTTCTTTTGTCAAGGTTAACCATTCTTACCCTCTGTCTCCAAATCTATAAGAGATAATATTTAGGCAACACTAAACTGGGTCCATGCAACATGTTAAGAGGGAACATCACTGGACTCTTGTGAGGCAAGCACACTCTTTTGAAATTCACAAGGAGGGTGAAGGAGTGAAGCATGACAGAGACAAAGAAGTCAACTGGCTAAGAGTTGGACCCAGAGAAAACCAGGTGTAAGAGTAAACCTGGGGCTCAAATTCAGATCTTCCAATTCTAAGTCCAGCAATCTTTCTAGTACATCAAAATTTATACAGTCCTATTATCCATAAATTGTTTCTTCATTTTACTTATTTTGAATGTTTACATGTTTGGAGATTCAGGCTTTAAGAAGCCGTCTGTCAACTATTTACATCAACTTTCCCATCTTTCCATTAAGCCAGTATTTTCTAGATAGTAAGGCACTACATAAAGACAAGGTATCATTTACTCTGATGAATGATGAGTGGGCAAACATGGGTTGTGTATGGTCCCATCTTATCTCATCTGCAAGTGGGGTTTACCTACCCAGTCATAAGGGTACACAGAGAAAAACTGTTCCATTGCTGAGGCTTAAAGAGCCTCAGAGCAGTCAGGAGCTTCTCTTTTCCCCTCAAACTCCTACTGGGCTCCTAAAGTCTGAAACCTGGAACCAGGAAAGGAGCAAGTACCTGTCATCATAAGAGGAGATCCTCTTGCCATCCATGACTCGTGAGGGGGTAAGGGAGAGCAGGCTGAGGGAGTACAACTCTTGCAAGAAGTGACTCTCTATAGAAAAAGAAAAACACAAAAGGCTCTCCTCAAGGTGGAAACAAAACCTAGCCCAAGACACAGATAACCAGACCTAACTCACCTCTGGCCTTGGCATCCTTATTGAAGCGCCACCGAGGCACAAAGACAGTTATGTCACGGTGTCCACGGTCCCAAAAGTACTGCACAGCAATGGCAATGCCCCGGCTAGAGAAGTAGTGCTGGAGGCCGTGCCTACAGTGGGAAAGGATCTGAACTTGACATCCAGAGGAGGGACCTGGCAGCCTGGCTGCAGGACAGGGTCCCTCAGCACATACCCCCAAGACAGACAAATATTCATGTCTCATCCTCCCTCCCCAGGACCCTGAGTCCCACCAGCTACTCACACCATGGCCACGTTGCTGCCATCAATGACAATATGGCGGAGATCTGGCTGGCCAGGAACATTGGCAAGGCTCAGGGTGAAAGGATCCTGTAGGGCCTCCTGGAAACGCTGTGTGCCAGTCACCAGGTTGCCCCCACGGGTGCCTCGTTTCCATGGAGACCCTCGACCCCGAGCCACAGCCTGCTGCTTGTCTCCCCGATCTCCACGGTCTCCACAGGGCCATGGAGGTTCAGGTGCAGGTGGAGGGCTAGGTACTCTTGGAGGTGAGGCTTTCCCATTATGGAGCCGCTGGAGGAGGGAGGCTCCTCGGGGTGGAGCTGCCCTCTGACAGGAGTTATGGGTACCAGGAGGCTCACCTTGGACACTGACCCCTTCTTTTTCCTGAGACACTCCTTCCTTCCCCAAGACTTGTCCTTTGAGGGGCCCCACCTCCCCTACGCATCCTGGTGACTGTGACCTGAAAGCCACTTCTCTCTCCCAGGCCTCTTCCCCACGTAGCTCCTTCCACCCTAAAACCATCTCCCTGGGACTGTACTGTTTCCTTCCCTCCTTCTCCACAGTATGACTCTCTTGCCTTGCTTTTGATGCTCCCTGCCCCACAGAAGCTCCAGCATCCAGGAATCCCCTGCCTTCATTCTGGAGAGCCCCGACTCCCTGGCACTGAGCACCCAACAGACCTGGGCTCCACCCCTCCCAAAAGGAAAGTGCTTGTGGCCCCTGTCCCCTGGATGCTTCCTGCACCAGACTCAGCAGCTCTTCTTGGACAGCCAAAGGCAGCTGCAGCAGAGCCTCTCTGTGGGCATCCTCCTGGTGCTGCAGCAGAGCAGAGAAATCTCTCAGTACACCAGCACTCTGAGAAGTTCCAGGGCATGGCCGGGGCTGAAAGTCCCAGCTCAGCCGCTCCACTAGCTCCTCTACCCGGCTCTGAGCCATGACAAAGGCCTCCGTTAGGCCACTGATCATCAGTGAGCTGGGTGCCCGGGGTACCAGGTGGGCTGATGTGCTCCAAGTCAAGCAGTCAAGGAAGAAGCCCTGGGCTCCCAGGAAGATGCAGTGCAGTCTGGGTGGGTACTGGATTTCACTCTGTAGTTCTGGGCTGCAAAGACCCTTCAGGTACTCCTGAAAAGGAAGATCAGAAATGGAAGCTGCTGGAAGCCACCCCCTTCAGGCTCATTGCTCTCCTCTGAGCTCCAGGATACCTGGAGTATACTGATATGAACTACATTTTTCCCATTTTGGAGATAAGGAACCTAAGACTCACAGGGCTGGCAGGTAGAAGTCATACTGAAACCCCTGCTGGACTCCAAAGGAAGCAATTTGGCCCAGCCTCTCACCCAACTCCCCAGTGAGTTCTTTGATGGGGCCCAGTTGCCCTGCTGGATTCTCTCTACTCTCCCCAAAGAATCACAAAGTGATTCCTTACAGAACTTAGGCAGTCACAGTAGAAACGAAACCAAAACTCTAGACAGTTAGGAAGCCCATCAAAGCTCAGGGCACTGAGGCTGCCAGGTTCCAGTCCTTACTCCTCTGACTCTGTAAGAGAGGGTGGGGGTTGCTTCCTGGAGAGATGGGGGAGGGAGTTCACCTTGGCTCTGCTGACATTCTCCTTGGGGCCCTCAAGCTGCAGCCAGATGTGAGGGTTCTCAGGACAGTCTTTGGAGAGGACACTCATCTCCACACTGAAAATGCGCTCCAAGCGGGCCTGCTGTTCCAGAACCTTGTCCTCTGCCTCAGCAGACACCGCAAAGCGGTCAGGGGTCATGGAGGCATCCCTCCAAGTAGGCATGTCTTCTTCCCAGAGTTCTGAAAGGGGAGGAGGCAGCTCAGAGCCTCACCCTCCCCTCAACCTAAATCCTGGCCTACACCAACCCTCAACAGGTCGCACCTAGCTACGATTGTGGTAAATAATCCAGAAGGTAACAAGGATCGGAAGGGTAAGAAGGCTGAGGAAATTAGGTGAACACAGTCTTTGTCTCCCTGAGAGGAACTCATGGGTAAACAAGACTCTATCTGGGGAGGGCCAATGGCCTTAGAAAAATGACCACAGCACTGAGCAGGAAGGGTGGGGGGCTCCAGCCCGGTCTGGAGGCTAGAAGGATTGGAAGGATGACCACGGCCTCTTAAAGATGAATCCTCCCCAGGGCCTTGAACTGGGCTGTCCTGGGGGGAGAGCAGCGGCCTTGTCCGCCACTTCCCACCTCTAGCCACTCCCACCTCTGCGCCTCCCCCTCCCCCAGCTGCCCAGGGTCCCTCTTGTGTGCGCCACGCGCCCCACCCGGGCCCGCCCACCGCCGAGTGCAGCCGCCACCCCTGGCCGGGCCGCGCTGTCCACCGCGGCCTCCCGCACCCGGGCGCTGGGAAGGGGCCGCCTACCCGCCCGGGCCACGCGTTCCAGCCTGTGTCCCCCGGCGCCTCCGGGCCCCCGCTTCGCCGGTGCCCCCAGCCCAGGGGACCCGAATCTGGGCCCGGGTCCCTCACCCAGCGCAGACTTCTCTACACATCTCGAACTGTTTTTTCAGCCACTTCCTGGCCTGGGGCGGAGTCAGCCCCGCTCCTCCCCGGGCTGGGCCTGCCCTGGCCCTGTCCCTGGCTCGCCGCCCACTGCGCGTTCCCTCCTCCCGCCGCCCTCAGCTGCGCGGCCCATCCCCGTCGCTAGCAGCTCTCCCGGCCCTGTCCCCTCACGCCTCCCCCACCCAGCTCTCTCGTTGTCTCTCGTTCCTTGGGGTTCTCCGCGGTGGTTTCTCGGGATAAACACATTGAAAGTTCCAAAGAAAGTGATGTGACCCTAATCCACTGTGTCACGAAAGAGTGGCGCTCCTGGCTCACTTTCCACTAAAACAATCGTGGAGAAGACAAGGACAACCTTCCAACAAATGAGAAGACAACACGGAGAAGGGCTGTTGATTTGTGAGGAATTTTGAAGAGGGATGAGAAGGAGGAAGGGGCTGTGGGAGCCCGTTCTTCCCGCCTTCCCCCAACCCCACCCCACACACATACAGTTAGTTCATCACCCCGGCTCCCTCCCTTGAAATCCCATACAGAACTGCCCTGGAGCCCTGGCAGTAGCCTTCCAGTCTTGTCTTCATCTCTTTTCTCCTCCCACCCAGAGCCCAACTGCTTGCTGTCACTTCATGCTCTGCCAAAGAGGAGGGAACTGTAGTGACAGCAGGAGTAACAGAATAAGGCAGTACAGAACCATGGGACAGAGAGAGATATGGAGAGGGAGGTGCCAAGGCCAGGTAATAGTGAGACCCAGAAAGAAGACAGAAGAGCAGGGCAAGGTGTAGTGAAAGCCTGAACCAGAAGAGTGGAAACCAAAAGCAGAAGAAAGGGAACCAAAGTCAGGGCCACTCGTGGGCCACAGAGGCTCTCAACCATGTTGGAAGCAAAGCCACACTGGCTACCAGGTCCCCTTCACAGCCTGAAGCTGCCCTTGGCCCTGGTACTTCTGGCCTTGGGGGCAGGGTGGGCCCAGGAGGGGTCAGAGCCTGTCCTGCTGGAGGGTGAGTGCCTGGTGGTCTGTGAGCCAGGCAGAGCTACTGCAGGAGGTCCTGGGGGAGCAGCTCTGGGAGAGGCACCCCCTGGACGAGTAGCATTTGCTGCAGTCAGAAGCCACCACCATGAGCCAGCTGGAGAAACCGGCAACGGCACCAATGGAGCAATCTACTTCGACCAGGTAATCCCCTACCCCAGTCCAGGGGACTTGCAAGGACCTGGAATCAATGTCCAAGTCCACTTGGCCATCCCTCAGACTAGGAAAACAACTCCCTATATCTCCCTCTATTATGGCCGCTGACCATTTCCTTTCCCTCACTCATGTGCACACTCTTCATCACCCCTTCACACCATTTCTTTTGAATCTGAACATTTCTGTTCACTCATACTTTCCACCCTTTCCTTAGTCACTACCTCACCCCAGCCCCAGCAACATCCCTGAGGCCCCACTGAGCAGGATCTGCTTCCCCCAGGTGCTGGTGAATGAGGGTGGCGGCTTTGACCGGGCCTCAGGTTCCTTCGTAGCACCTGTCCGAGGAGTCTACAGCTTCCGGTTCCATGTGGTAAAGGTGTACAACCGCCAAACAGTCCAGGTGATCTGAGCATTTAGGAGGGAAGGGAGGGATCCCAAATGGAGCCCTGCTAAGCCCTTGGGCAATCCTCCATTGACTTCTCCTGGGGGTCAGGAGCAAAGACCAATAGGTCCTGCCTAGCAGATTGTGGAGGAAGTGTGGGCCAATGCTGGCCACCCCACAGCTCTCCCATTAAACCCCAGGGTCCTGAGAGGAAGCCCTTGGGCAAATGAGGGTGCTAAGCCAAGCGCTGGGGGATGGACGCTAACTGGGCTCCCTCCCCAGGTAAGCCTGATGCTGAACACATGGCCTGTCATCTCAGCCTTTGCCAATGATCCTGATGTGACCCGGGAGGCAGCCACCAGCTCTGTGCTGCTTCCCCTGGACCCTGGGGACCGTGTGTCCATCCGCCTGCGCCGGGGGAATCTGTTGGGAGGCTGGAAATACTCAAGCTTCTCTGGCTTCCTCATCTTCCCACTCTGAGGACCCAGACCATTGAAAGACAGAAATACAACCCCTGATCACGGCCTTCTGCCTTCCCCCACCACAGAAACTGCATCTTTGGGGCGGGAGAGAGGCTGGCTCAATCTGCCTGTATCCCACCCCCTTGCATGAGGCTTTGTGTCAAACACCCAGCAGTTAAGAGTAGAGCTGTGGCATCTTCAGACCTGGCTCTCTTTCTCACCACCCCACACCCTAGTTGCTCTCCCAGCCTCCTACTGCATTTCCTTCTGCCTGTGGCCCTAGGCTCAAGGCAGGGTTTAGCAGGAAAGGACCTGCACTACTTCGTAGTTTCTTTTCCTCCTGTTCCTCTAATCCAGCTTCCTGCCCAGTGCTATTTGGGGACAGGTGGAACAGGTAAGCCTGATAGGCTCCCACAGGGGCCCAGATGGACCCACTTCAGTGTACCCTGCAGGCTCCTTCCTGCGAGGAGTGCCAGTATCAGGGATCTCAGCCAGCACCGTATGGACTAGAGGAAGGCTCAGCCACAAGCAGGAGTGTGGGGAGAGTCACAGAGAAGTCCAGAGCCTGTGGCTGGTGAGGCAGGAAGGGACATATGCCTAGCCAGAACAGGATGCAAATTCTACATATACATGGATAGCCAGCAGGCACAGATCCTGCTGTCTGTCTGTGCCAGGTCTCAAGTGGACTCTGGCCCTCGCCTCCCCACCCGAGATTTGGGTGTGTGTTTGCTCTGGCTGACAAGAGAGCTGAAAGTGGGTGTACAGAGCTGGAGGAGGGGGGTAGAAGGTCACATGTAGACCATAGAACACATCAGTGACCTTGTGTCCTCTTGCTTGTCCACTTGCTGGTGACCCCACCTTTGAAGTCTGAGCTTCAGCCAGGGCACACTCATTGCCACCTCCTCCCTCCTACCTTTCTCACTTAATTACCTTCACTGTGCCTGTTGCAGCCCATCTCCACCATCTCTCTTCTTCCTTCTGGTCCATGCTGTCTTCCTAAGCTTCCTGTTACCTGAAATTCCATGATTTATCCCTCCAGCCACTCTCTACCAGGATCATAAACTTGTCTCTTTCTTATCCCACTGTCCTGATGGTCCAGCATGGATGAACCTATCCATATAGCAACTAGAGAAGGGTAGTCAATGAGAAAAGATGTCGTTTGGATCAGAGGTTACAGGATACAAGCAGGTATGTTATAGTGTAAAGAGAAGAAATGTAAAACTGTATATTATAGTCAAATAAAAAAGGATTTAGTAATGTTCAGGTTAAGTAGGAAATACCAATGTGGATTTGTGGTTTTAAGAAGAAATAGGATTGGACCCAGTTGTAGAGTGCTTGCCTAGTATGCACAAGGCTCTGGGTTCAATCCCTAGCACTGCAAAAAGAGGCGGGGAGAGATAAAAAGAAATAACTTTTCTTTCACCATTGGCCATTCTTTATAACCAAGAACAATAGTTTAAAGAAGATAGGAGATTATTTCTGTCTCACATAAAAGAATCTGCAAATAAAGTGTTCAGGGATGAATTGAGTTTTATGCCAATCTCCCTTCTTACTGTTCTACCATCTTTAGTCTGCCCCTGTGCGACCCACGATGGCTCCTTGAGCTTCAGCCATTACATCAGCCTAACAACCCCCATGAAGAAGGAAGAAAGGGCATACCCCTTTCCTTACAGAAGCTTTGTGAAAGTCGCTCCCAACATCTTTGACTATATCTCATTGGCTAGAATTTAGTCACACTTGGCACACTAAGCCAGGAAGATAGGTTCAGGAAATATAGTCCTTATTCCAGGTAGTCATGTCCAGCTTAAAGTAAGACATTTTATGTTAAGGAAAAGAGGGGAAATGGCTATTGGAGAAGACAACTAGAAGTTTTTGAAAATGCAAAAAAGTCTATATCAGTTTGGTAATAACATCCATTCTAAAGTTACTGCATTAGTTTTCTAATGCTATGTAACAAATTATAAGAAACTCGGTGGCTTAAAACAACTACTTGTTATCTCAGTTTCTATAGGTCAGAAAACTCACAGAGCCTTCTGCTGTTTTCCACAAGGTCAAAAGCAAAGTGTAGGCAGGGCTGCCTGCCTTCCTTAATAGAGGGGAAGAAGCCACTTCCAAACTCACCTAGAATTCAGTTCCCTGGAAACTGAGGTTTCCAGAACCCTCTGTTTTCCAGCCAGTAACTGTGAGCCAATGCTTTCTCCCACTTTGAATCTCTCTAACCTATCCCTGTCCATCTTCAGTGGAGAAACTTCTCTGAGTTTGAGATTACCCAGGCCAACTCCCTGTTTTAAGGTCTATAACCTGAGTCACATATGCAAGGTCCCTTTTGCCACCCGACAACATATTCAGAGGCTCTAGGGATTGCGGCACAGACTTTGAGACATTTGCATATCATAGTCTTTAAACTTGAAGATGGCATCTTGTAGAGAGAAGGCATCCAACACACTATACTAAATGCATGGAAAATGTGTGGGCTTCCTGGGTGCTCGTGGCTCACGTCTATAATCCTAGCTACTTGAAGTCAACCTCAGGCAAATAGTTTGTGAGACCCTATCTTGAAAATACCCAACACAAAAAGAAGCTGGTGGAGTGGCTCAAGTGGTAGAGTGCCTGCCTAGCAAGTGTGAGATCCTGAGTTCAAACTCCAGTACCACCAAAATGAAAAAAGAAAATGTGTGGGCTTGAAAAAATTCCCAAGAAATAAAAGACAAATACCAACTCAGGTTTTAATCATCTTAAAGGCAAATCAGTTCCCAGGTCCCAACTAAGAATTCATTGATTAATAATCCAAAACTTCCTAGACACTGAGTAATGTTCCTCTTTCTGATAACCAAATTCAAAAATTAATGTGAAGTGAGATAGTATCTTCAATGCACAAACCCATTTTTATCATGCATTTAAGTGGTGGCTAAAAATTATACAATATTTGTAATGATGTGGTTGCTTTACCAAAATGTTTGAAGGTTTTATAGGAAC